CAGGACGTCTCACTTGTTCCAGAATAAAAGTATGTGTTAAATCCAGAATGGTATTGAGTTTCTCTCTGCTGAGATATAAATATGGTGTCACATCACATCTATAAGCATGTGTGAGACAGACATGCACCGTATGTACGTATGTGGCGAGCACAGTGTTAAGATATTTTAACGTTAGCAGAAGTGGTGCCAACGTTTTGCTAAGCTACAAAATAAATGCAATAAATAAGATAATAATGTGATATTTCAGCATCCGTTTGATGGGATTATTGCAGTTAAATCACATCCCAATGTGTTCTGTTTGGGTTCAAACTGCTATAAATCACACAAGTTAACCCGAGAGAGTAACGCAAGGAGAAAAGTTTAGTTTCTGTTGGACGGCTCTCAAGACTACAATACCCAAGAGCCTCAGCTGCTGTTGCTCAGAGGTGTGAATCAAACCTGGTCGCCATAGTTACTGAATTCATCTACAATCTGAAATAAAACCTATTTCATTCACTTTGAGCTCGATCTCATCAGTAATAAGATTTAAAGTGTTTTACAGCAGCTCGTTTCTCATTGTCTTCATTTATCATTAATTCAAAGAAATCCTCTCTAGTCAGCAATTTTACAGTGAATGCCTCACATATATGTACACAACACACACACACACACACACACACACACACACACACACACACACACACACACACACACACCATTCAGGTAGATTAGCTTTTAACAACCTGGAATAGCTAGCAGGTCAGCCCCCACCCACACACACACACACACACACACACACACACACACACACAGTGGACTCTCCTGCACTCTAATCTATAAGTGATTCTTCCAGAGCCGCATCGCTGCAAATCTGCTGACCAACACACAACACACTACACACACACACACACACACACACACACACACAGAACAGAGAAAGGGTGTGTGCATCTGTGAATACATTTGTGTCTGCCTGAATGTGTGTGTGTGTGTGTATGAATATACCCTATAGAGTGTGTGTGTGTGTGTTGCAGCTACATTAAACCAGCTCCACACACACACACACACACACACACACACACACACACACACACAGATTTCTAACTCTTTATCTTCCTCCAGTAGAAATATAAATATTAAAGGAAATGTTTCATACACACACTGTCACATTTATCCTTTAAATACCAGATCAATAACAGTATTACAGCATGACTGCAGTGGTACCACCGGGTTCGGGCCCTTTCTTTAGGTCAGGTTCAGACAGAATCTTTTACATATATGTCCAATGTTTAATTAATAATGAATGTTACTGTAATTAATGAGAGAATTTATTTGTTTTGAAATATGATATATATATATATATATAAATAATTCTTCTTATTATTATTTTAAGTGGAAATTTGTGTTTGGGCCCAAAGTGCTGCCATAGGTCGGGCTCGGGACAGAATTTGATTTCTTTAATAAATATTAGTTTTAGTGATTTTATCTGTTATGTTTACATGTGAACTGAAGTTTTACTTACTCAAGTAATCGTTGTTTAACTTTTAACTCCTGATAGTTTGATTCTCTGTCTGTATTCTGTATTTTCATCATTTTAACAATCAGACTTAATAATTATTATTATTGATATTCTTCTTTCTGACAGAGTCCCTTTTTTATGCTCTATCAGCTCTTTGGCCCCTGTGACCCCCATGACCCCCGTGAGGCTCTGGCGAACCCTAAATATAAGTTTGAATTACAGAAACTAGTGGGTCAGACAGGAAGTGATGTCATGACACAAAACTAAACAAAGTTAAACAGACGAGAGTGAAAGTGAACCCCGAACGGAAAACAACAAAACCCAAACAACCAATCAGATACTGGTGTGTGTGTGTGTGTGTGTGTGTGTGTGTGTGTGTGTGTGTGATTAAGTGACTATGCGTGATAGCGTTTGCATGCGCAGTGGCGTGCATCTGATGAAGCAGGGATAAGAGTGTGTCTGGTGTGTGTGTGTGTGTGTGTGTGTGTGTGATCGATGGCTCTTTGATCAGGGGTCTCTGTGTGTGCTGACAGGCACTTTACATCTCCTATTGTTAGCGGTGGGCGATCGACAGACTCATATAGATCCCACTGCGCTCTCTGTCACCTCTCTCTCTCTCTCTCTCTCTCTCTCTCTCTCTCTCCTGCATGTCGGCACTTTTTAAAGGTCACGTTCGTCCCTCGTTCTCTCTTTCACTCTCTCTGTCTCTCTTGTCCTTTCTGTCTATCGCGCGTCCATCTCACCCCCCCCTTCCACTCTGCGGTCTCTTGATCGCCCCTCCCATCTCCATATTTCCTCATCATTAAACGAGTTCAGAGAGAGAGAGAGCTCATTGGTTACAACCGATGATGTAACAGCTCACAGATGATGTCTCAAACTATCACAATGTGGTAAATATTAACGTTTTACACACTGTAAAAAAAAGTTATGAAACTGAATTTCGAGGCAACTGTCTTGAACTCCAAGGTTTAAATAACACCATAACATTTAAATAACAATGATAATTTACTTCTGTAGAAAAACATGAATATTTAAGTTCTATATTTCAACAGAATATTCAAATTCAAAGTGATTCGCAACTATTTAATTTCAAAGCACCATAATAATAAAAACCAATTGGTTTCTAAAACTTAAAGGGACAATGTGTAGGAATTTCTCCCATCTAGAGGTGAAATTGTATTTTGCATTTAAACGAATAGTGCTCTCTAGTGCCTCGCGTTTTCAAATGCGTATTGTAACTACGGTAGCCGTTATGTACCAAGAAGCCTACCTGTGGAGGAGAAAGCAGGCAACTTCAGCGTCCCTTTGAAAGTCTTTCTCCTTCATTAGCTCTTTCCATCTGGGAAAAGCTACCCCGATGTTTACCCTCGTTTTTTGAATTTGCCGCTCACGTTGCCTTTTTAATTCCCTTTTGGCTTTGTTGGTGACGAGGATTCCTTCTCCTGTGGCTCGGCATAGGTATGATCCTCCATTATTAACTAAAGTGCAGTGCAGACTTTCAAATGTGCCTCTCACTGATCTCCTTCTCCGTAATAGCTGGTTTCAGTCACGTGACGCTGGCTCTGAACGAGAACGCGTTGTGGATTAGTGAGACAGGTAGCCTAGTGCTTTATGTCCCTCTCGGCGATTATAGTTTTTCAAAATGGCGGAATGACATGGAAGCCTCCGTGGACTTGCCCGTCTAATGTATATACAGATAAGAAATTCTTCACTTACGAGGATAAGTCAGATCATTGGCAGAGGTAATTTTACACCAATGAGGACACATTTATGAATGAAGACTTTAGCTAATAAAATACTGACAACACTACACAATGTCCCTTTAAAGGTCAGCAGAACTTTTTTAGTTTATTTCAAAACCTAGCAGTGAAATTTAAGTTTTGAGTTTTAAGTAAAACTTATAAGTTTTTAAATAAACGTAACAAAAGTTTGGCCAACTTATAATCTTTTTTTTTAGAAAAACTGAAATCTTTGAGTTTTATAAAGAAAAAAGTCTACATTTCAAAAATTGTTCACAGCTGTGAAACAAATACAGATGTTTTGTTTCTAAAACTTAAAGATTCATGTTTTTAAATAAAATAAAATAATCAACATTTTTACATTGTTTCATGATGACAGACAGTCAGTGAGTGTGTCTGTGTCCAACTCTTCCTCACAGGTTAGTTAATGACAGACAGTCAGTGAGTGTGTCTGTGTCCAACTCTTCCTCACAGGTTAGTTAATGACAGACAGTCAGTGAGTGTGTCTGTGTCCAACTCTTCCTCACAGGTTAGTTAATGATGTTACTGAGTCAATGTGAGCAGATTGTGTCTGTAGATTGAAGACAATCAGAGTCTCACTGATGGTGGAAATAAAGGTTTAATTATTAATTAATTACACTTAATAATTATTAATAATAATAAACTTAATAATAATTCCCATAAACTGAACTGACCTACCTTCTAATAATAAACCTTGGAAACAGCAGAAAGTAACGCAGTCAAAGGTTAATGAAATTACTACTTTACACTAATGTCACATTGGACAGACTGAAGAGTCTGAAGGACAGAAACAGGGACATACCTGTTGTATCTGTCACTCATCAATAACTTTATTTTTCATAGATAATAATCCAACAATGTAACATAATCGTCAAAATATTAGTGCTGTCAGTTAACCGCATTATTAACGGCGTTAATGCAAACCCATTTTAACGCCGTCAATTCTTTTATCATGAGATTAACGTTCTTTTTGTGAGATTAACGTTCTTTTTGTGAGATTAACGTTCTTTTTGGCCTAGCACACAACTAGTAACGTTAGAAAAACTACAACACCACACCAGAGTGTGATGGCGAGCGCGAGACGCCGAAATGGACGCCAATAATATTCTGAATGGAAAGTTTACTTTTAAAAAGTTGCCAAATGGTTCCATTGACAAGACCAAAGTGATCTGTGTGATACTGAGCTATCATTGCAGCACGTCCAGTCTGAAATACCACTTGATGGCCAAACACACAGCTGATGCGAATTTTCTGCCCCCTCGTCAAAGCCAGGCGACAATGGATGACTTTTCAATAAAAACAACATTTGCACAAAGCAAGCCGATCCACTTTTCCATGTTGATAAGAGCAATGAGAAAAAATAATGGGACAAAAAGAAATCAAGGGACATTTAGAATAGATAAAAATGTGCGATTAATTGCGAGTTAACTATGACATTAATGCGATTAATCGCGATTAAATATTTTAATTGTTTGACAGCACTAATAAATATATAAATAAATATAAATATAGAGTGTCTGTCAGGTTTTGTAGTGTGTTTACTGTGTGTGTGTGTGTGTGTGTGTGTGTGTGTGTGTGTGTGTGTGTGTGTGTTCATTAAGCCGAGCAGTGTCTGGTTTGCTCTGGAGGAATTACATTAGATCCACTATCGATGACAGATCTGCAATCCAATCACTGCTCTGCCTCGCTCTACCGAGAGAGAGAGAGAGAGAGAGAGAGAGAGAGAGAGAGAGAGAACTTACTCTGTGAGACTCGTACTAGCTCGGCCACCGTGAAGACGCCGGGCGTCACAAAGCTGTCCTGAAAACCCAGATGACCTGAGAAAGAGAGAGAGAGAGGTTTAATTACTACATATTGCTTGATTATATCAATTATAGTGATCATATTATCACACTATTGGCTGTACAACTGAGTTAATGCTGGTTGATAACAGTATTACAGTGTGTAGTAGTAGTACCAGCAGTACTACAGAATTCTTACTTTCTGCTTGTTTATATGTATAAATAACTGTATATATTGTTTTCTTGAATAAAAATATTTGTGTATATGTACATTATATATTCTCTATATGTGCAGCATGAAGGAGCTGATTTCTGTATAGTAACAGTTGTAGTACCATCAGTAGAATCAGTAGAAGCAGTAGGTGTATCAGTAGTTATAGCAGCAGTAACAGCAGTTGTGTATATGTATATAATGCTCTTATTACTGCTGCTGTTACTGCTATTACTGTTGTTACTGCTGTTACTGCTGTTACTGTTGTTACTGCTGTTACTGCTGTTACTGTTGTTACTGTTGTTACTGCTGTTACTGCTGTTACTGTTGTTACTGCTGTTACTGCTGTTACTGTTGTTACTGCTGTTACTGCTGTTACTGTTGTTACTGCTGTTACTGCTGTTACTGTTGTTACTGTTGTTACTGCTGTTACTGCTGTTACTGTTGTTACTGCTGTTACTGTTGTTACTGCTGTTACTGCTGTTACTGCTGTTACTGCTGCTGTTACTGCTGTTACTGCTGTTACTGTTGTTACTGCTGCTGTTACTGCTATTACTGTTGTTACTGTTGTTACTGCTGTTACTGCTGTTACTGTTGTTACTGCTGCTGTTACTGCTATTACTGTTGTTACTGCTGTTACTGCTGTTACTGTTGTTACTGCTGTTACTGTTGTTACTGTTGTTACTGCTGTTACTGTTGTTACTGTTGTTACTGCTGTTACTGTTGTTACTGCTGTTACTGCTGTTACTGTTGTTACTGCTGTTACTGCTGTTACTGCTGTTACTGTTGTTACTGCTGCTGTTACTTTTGTTACTGTTGTTACTGCTGTTACTGTTGTTACTGCTGTTGTTACTGTTGTTACTGCTGTTACTGCTGTTACTGCTGTTACTGCTGCTGTTACTGTTGTTACTGTTGTTACTGCTGTTACTGCTGTTACTGTTGTTACTGCTGCTGTTACTGTTGTTACTGTTGTTACTGCTGTTACTGTTGTTACTGCTGTTGTTACTGTTGTTACTGCTGTTACTGCTGTTACTGTTGTTACTGCTGTTACTGCTGTTACTGCTGCTGTTACTGTTGTTACTGTTGTTACTGCTGTTACTGCTGTTACTGCTGCTGTTACTGTTGTTACTGTTGTTACTGCTGTTACTGCTGTTACTGCTGTTACTGCTGCTGTTACTGTTGTTACTGTTGTTACTGCTGTTACTGTTGTTACTGCTGTTGTTACTGTTGTTACTGTTGTTACTGCTGTTACTGCTGTTACTGTTGTTACTGCTGTTACTGCTGTTACTGCTGCTGTTACTGTTGTTACTGTTGTTACTGCTGTTACTGCTGTTACTGCTGCTGTTACTGTTGTTACTGTTGTTACTGCTGTTACTGCTGTTACTGCTGTTACTGCTGTTACTGTTGTTACTGCTGTTACTGCTGTTACTGCTGTTACTGTTGTTACTGTTGTTACTGCTGTTACTGTTGTTACTGCTGTTGTTACTGTTGTTACTGTTGTTACTGCTGTTACTGCTGTTACTGCTGTTACTGTTGTTACTGCTGTTACTGCTGTTACTGCTGCTGTTGCTGTTGTTACTGTTGTTACTGCTGTTACTGCTGTTACTGCTGCTGTTACTGTTGTTACTGTTGTTACTGCTGTTACTGCTGTTACTGCTGTTACTGCTGTTACTGCTGTTACTGTTGTTACTGCTGTTACTGCTGTTACTGCTGTTACTGCTGTTACTGTTGTTACTGCTGTTACTGCTGTTACTGTTGTTACTGTTGTTACTGCTGTTACTGCTGTTACTGTTGTTACTGTTGTTACTGTTGTTACTGCTGTTACTGCTGTTACTGTTGTTACTGCTGTTACTGCTGTTACTGTTGTTACTGTTGTTACTGTTGTTACTGCTGTTACTGTTGTTACTGTTGTTACTGCTGCTGTTACTGCTGTTATTACTGCTGTTGTCGCTGTTATTGTAGTAGCTGTAGCCTTCATTCAAAATGTAACTTATACTGTACAGCTCAACTCATAACTTATAGCTAACCTGCTGCTCTACCACACATACACACACACACACACACACACACACACACACACATCGCATTACACTCACACAACACTACGATCACACACACACTGCCCTATTGCTTAAAAGAGTTACTCTTATAACTGTACTACCAGATGAGAAGTTGAAGCTTCTGTTTCCGAACAAGGATAACAACTACCAGCTGTGTGTGTGTGTGTGTGTGTGTGTGTGTGTGTGTGTGTGTGTGTGTGTGTGCACGTGTGTGTGTGTGTGTGTGTGTGTGTGTGTGTGAGTTTTAGACCATGACCCTGGAGTTCAGCTACGTGCTGCTAAACACACACACACATGCACACACACATACACACACACCCAGATAAAGCAGAGAGGATATCCTCTACACACACTCATACAGTACACACTGTATCAACACCCCCCCACACACACACTTAAAAATCTGTCACATACACTTCCCTGATCCAGACAAACAACTGTGTTTATATATATGTGTGGTGTGTGTGTGTGTGTGTGTGTGTGTGTGTGTATGTGTGATAAAACCACAGCCTCACTCTGTCTGACCACCAGGGTCAAACACAGGTCACCTGAGTGTGAGTGTGTGTGTGTGTGTGTGTGTGTGTGTGTGTGTGTGTGTGTGTGTGTGTGTGTGTGTGTGTCTCACCGTTCTCTGGCTGCTCCTTGATATCCGATTCGCTGGCCTGGTTGGGGCTTTCTGATTGGCCGGTTTCTGGAGGGAAACAAATAAAAAATTATGAGTCAACAACAACAAACAGAAATATGTTAAATACATACACACACACTCACACACACACACACACACACACGCACACACAGAGGTGGTTAAAAGCAGTATATCTCTCTCCTGATTGGACGATCACGTTGAAACACTTCCTCATTATTCTGTGTCTGTTTTCATTCTTCCTACAGTGACCTGAACGTCTCATCTGATTGGATGAATTTAAACAGCTCGTTAAGGACGAACCCAAGATGTCCGTCAGTCTGTCTCAGCAGCATTAACGAGGAGGACGATCACACACACTGACGGACGGACAGACTCAGCTTTCACTCTGCTCGTCACCAGAGAGGATCATGGGAAACATTGTGACATCCTCCTACAGAGAAACTTTCTCTGCTGCTTTGTGAAGGCAGCCTCTGTTGTCCCAGCATGCTCTCTGCTCCGATGCAGCTCCCGCTCCTGCAAATGATTTAGCGTCTTCAGGAGCATCGATCGGCCCCGTGCTGCAGATAAAATGGTCGGGGTGTGGAAGAAATATTACCCATCATGCTCCTGGAGCCGGCCGCAGGGGCCATGACTCAGGGCTGGGACTGAGACGGATGGAGCCGGGTCGGGTTCGGGTTTTATTAGAGCGTCCGATAAAGTAAAAGTTTTTAATTATGATAAAATGAAATGAAGATGTTTTAAAAGCTGCAGCACTTCACACTGTTGGATCTCGCTGCAGGTTCAGAGGCACAGTCCTGTAAAAACCACGCTTCTTCATTACAGTAAAATACCGTCGTTTATATTGTATTGTCGGTATTTTTCATCAAGCGGGAATATTTTACAGTACACTGTGAAAACAAATCTGTAAATATACATTTTTTTCCGTTTATTTTACAGATTTCTTTCCTGTATTTTTTAAATATATGCAAATATTAATACAATTATGAAAATATCCTGTAAATTTACGTGTCTAATGTAAAATAATGTGAAAAATCTGTAACTGTAAATAATCATAAAATTACTATTAAAATAAATGTATATAAAAAGATTAAAATACTTTTGCAAATGGAGATTTTTGTGTATAAACATTGGTAAACTGTCAAAATCAAGACTAAAAGGCGACAAAAAGCAGAAGAGTGCTGTGGATTCAGTATCTGTAAGGATTAGTTTTGTGTCAGGATGTTACATCAGTTCTTTACAGTTTAGGAAGTGTTGGCAGGACCAGGTCTTAGTGAGACCTCTGGAAAAACCTTCCTGAAGTTGATTTCTAACTGTAAATCTCAGAAACAGTCCAGTAAAAACTCCTTTATTCCTTGTGCAACAACATGTCATTTTAATATTTTTAGCATCTAACATAGTTTCTTTGCATTGTTGTTAGTGTATTATAGTTTACTGTATATTCTATGTACAGGACTCATTTCTGTGTTACTTTGTGTCTTTAGTCTGTACTCGTGCTGTATTGTTGTTTGTGTTTGTGGCCTCGCTGCCAGTTTCCCATCGGGGAGAATAGACGGACTGAAGTGAACTGGTGTTGTTTGGTTGTTAATCTGCATTAAGAGTTTATTAGTTGTACTGATGCTGTTACAGATTGGATTGGACATATTCATTATTTGTTCACTGGGTCACTTTCTGTTTTACTCTTGAACTTAGTATGTTTTTCCAATTCCTCAGCGTTGTGGTTGTCTGCCAGAAGCTGTCATACATTGACTGTTGATCCAGTCTGAAGCCACATTGTTACCATCCACTGTTTAGATCTTGGTGCTTTTTAACTCTAGATTTGAACCGGATGAAGGATTTTAGTCATCGGACGTCTGGATCTTAAGTTATCAGAGAAACAAGCTGAGCTAACGTTAGCAGCAGCTCGGCTCGCAGGCCCTCCGGGACGTCCTTTGTCTGTCCAACAGCGTGGGAGAAGCAGTGATTGTTAAGGTGGAACTGCTTTATTCAGTGTTTTTAGCGGCTTTAATCAGATAACACATCACTCTTTCTCAGTCCCTTTATCTCCTCTGAGGCTGCTCTGGAAACTGTAAAAAGTCGATGTGTTAATGTGAGAAACAGAACTGGAAGAAAGAGTCGCTGATGACTTACTGACGACTCCGAACCAGAGAAATCTAAAAAATCATCTCTTTTCATTCCCACTGGAGACTTTAAGCAGAAGTTCGTGTAAACAGATTTCTTCTTTAACTGAACTGGTTGAACTGGTAAAATGTCAGATAATCAGATAATCACATGTTACACATGTTAAATGTTATCACAGAGGTTTTATTGTTCAATTCAATTTCTAAAAACTTTTTACAGTGGGGGACACCCCCCCCCCCCACACACACACACACACACACACACACACACACACACACACACACACACACACACACAGGGACAAAGTGCAGCATTTATCAGCCTTGTTTTGCATGCTGTTCACTGTGTCTGTTTGCTTCAGCAGCTTAAAACAAAGAGCATCAGGCTGAAACCACGGCAACCAGGGGGAGGGAGGGATGAGGAGGGGGTGCTGATGGGTGTGTGTTGGAGGGCACTTTCACACACTGCCCCCATACCCCATCAACCCCCCATCCCCTCATTCAGCCGTCATCCCCCCCGTCCAGGTTAATTAAATATGCTAATGAGGTGTGGGAGCAGACCGGACCGTCTGCATCCACCCCCCACTGAGGGGGGGGTACGCATTAAGACAAACACTGAGATGATGGAGCAACAAACCAGTGAAACCAGTACACACAAACTGGGAGTTAACGCTCAGTCACATGCTACAAAATAAAAGTTTAAAAAGTTGTGCTTTCTCTCCCTCATCCTCTTTCTTTAATTCTCTCCATCACATGCTTCAAAGTAAAAGTCGCCAGTCTTAGAAGTTGTTGCCATCCATGCTTTTATTTTGAAGGGTGTCATTTTCATCTCCTCTCTTTCCCTTTTTCCCTTTATCACTCAGTCTTTTCTCCCTCTCTTTTTATCTCCATCAGACAGAAAAAAGTATGTTGTTGTTGTAGCTAACCATGCTTTTATTTTCAAGTGCTTTGAACAAGCTCTTTTTGCCCCACTCACTTCCTGCTTTTCTCTCACAACTTCAAAATAAAGGTATTTTCTGTTTCCCGTCTCTCTCTCTCTTTCTTTCTTTTTCTCTTCCTCTCTGTCATCCACTCAAGTCCTTCAAAATAAAAACATTCTGTTTCTGAAATACAAACATGACAACCACTGCCGATCCATGCTTTTATTTTCAAAGATCTCTCTTTCTCTCTCAACCACAGTCTCCAAAATAAAAGCATCCACAACCATGCCTCCTCTTTCTCCTCTTCCTCTCAGGGGCTTCCTCTAAAGACCGAAAGCAGTGGACCGTGGAAATAAACAACAACAACAACAACAACACTCTCTAAAACCAACATGAACACTTTTGTCTCTGCATTCGTTCGGCCCTCGTTCTACCTCTGCTGTCATCTCCCATGTGTAACACACACACACACGCACGCACACACACACACACACGCACGCACGCACGCACACACAGACACACACAGGCATGCACGCACGCACACACAGACACACACACACACACACACACACACACACACACACACACACACACACACACACACACACATTATTAGAGCACTTAGACAGAAATAAACAATGAGACCAAGAAGAGAGAGAGAGAGGGGCAGAGGTCTTCCCACTCTCTCTCTCTCTCTCTGTGGGAAAGTCAAACTCTGTGGCCCCAGAGGTCGCTCGCCCAGCCCTGCTCTCTCTCTCTCTCTCTCTCTCTGACATGAACTGACGGTTTTCTAGGAAGAGGGGAGGGAGAGGAGGGAGGGGAGGGAGAGGAGGGAGGGACAAACTACTGGGCGATTCCCAGAAAGGCAGAAAAGAGAGAGAGAGAAAAAGCGAGAGAGTTCAGTTCACTCTATGTGTCTCTCTACCTCTGTTCTCTCTCTCTCTTTGTGACCTTTGACCCCTCTGCTCTTCTACTTTTCTCTTCCTCCCTCCTACCTCTCTGTATTTCTCTCCCTTTATTATTATACTAAAAACAGCTAATCTTTCTCTCCAACAGCTCCATACCGCCTTAAAACCTGTTGTTATCTTTATTGTTTATTATTGTTCTTATATTATTATTATTAATGTCTGCCAGCAGGTCGGATTCCCCTTGAAATCAATGACCGCTTTAAAGCTGTTAAATCTTTTATTACAGCAGCACAGAATAATGGTGGAGCGATCAGGACGGGACAGTGACTCTGTACCAACATGGCTGCCGCTGTCAACGAAACACATGGAGAGAGAAACCACACGGACGCTCGTCTCACCCTAATCTTCAGTTTGGTTTCTATCTTTTTAATCAAATTTTTTATGTATACAGATCTTACCCCCTGTCTCGCCCTCTCTCTGTCTCTCTCTGACTGTGTCGATGTCTCTTGGCAGAGCGACAGGCGCACACAGACAACAAAAACAGAAACAGTGAAGTGTTTTGGCGGCCAAGATCTTTTTTCTTTCTCCGTATGTTTGGCTGAGAGAGGCCAACCGTTGACTCGGGCGAGAGACATGCCGAGGGTACAGAGAAAAAGAGAGAGAGAGGCTCTGAGCTGCTTCAGACACATTTCAGCCGTCCTGCATGTTTTTGTGAGAGTTGTTTGATCAGAGCTTCCCGCCCGCCCGGGTCTGAGCAGGAAGAGAAAATAAACGCACCCCTCGCCCTCGGTATCGATCCGAGCGGCTCTGATTTAGCTTTTAATGAAATGAGGAGATGTATGAATTCATTTTTATAAAGGCCACAAATCAGCGTGACTCACACCCAGAATAAATTAACTTTATTCACACACACACACACGCACGCACACACACACACACACACACACGCACGCACGCACACACACACACACACACACAGCGAGGATGTCCCGCCCACCGACAGCATCCACAGGATTGGTCGGATGATGTCTCCCCCACACTGACTGACAGGTTTTGAATATAAATCTTGAGTTATTAATGTTTTATGAGGCTGTTAAAGG